CTAAACTCTCAACCCTAAACCCTCGGCCGAAGCGCCGAGGTCAGTGGCGATCCATCCAACGGTGGCGAGCATTGCAACTCTTCCGTGCTTCAGCTCTGCCTCAGGATTTAAGGATTTAAGGGTTTGGGGTATATGGTTTAGGGTTCATTTAAGGATTTAAGGTTTAAGGGTTTAGGGAGTTCAGGGAGTTTAGGGTTTAGGGTTTAAGGTGCAGGGTTTAGGATTTAGGGTTCAGGGCTGAGGGTTTAGGGTTTAGGGCGCAAGGTGTAGGGCATATCAGGGCTTAGGGGAGTTTAGGCTTAGGGGCTTCGGACTGACAAATTCAATGCCTACACCAAAAAAACTTGAATACCCATGGAGCTCCACTGTTTTCCAAATGACAGTAGACTGTGTTGGGCCTACCCTAAACCTTAATCCCTACACCCTAATCCTTATCCTGGATCTGAAGATCCCCTAGAGTCAATATTTCCGATGTAGCTAAAAAAACAAAATCAAATCTAAACTGAAATGGACACTAGTGTTATCATAGGTGTATAGGCGGGATTTCCATTTCCCAAGTAATTTCTTGATAGTTAATGGACACGAGTTCCTAGTTTCTATGGGGGAAGATTTTACGGACTATACCAATCTACCAAAGAGACCCCTATGTCCACCCTTAATGGTCACTTGCTATCCCTAAACCCTAAACCCCAAATCTTGAACCCTAAACCCTACACCCAAAATCTTGAACCCTAAACCCTAAACCCTAGACCTGGTGCCTGAACCCTAAAGCTTCTTTAATAATAACAGTGACCCATATCCAGGGCGGATGTGAGCCCTGTTTGATTCAGAACACGTCCCTACAACTGGCACCTCGAAGCCGACTAAGAGCCGATCGTACGATTTAGGGTTTTAGGGTTTAGGGTTTTGGGGTTTAGGGTTTAGGGTTTAGGGGTTTAGGGCTTAGGGGTTTGTGTTTAGGTTTCGGGGTTTAGGGTGTAGGGTTTTAGGGTTTTAGGGTTTTAGGGTTTTAGGGGTTGAGGGCTTTAGGGTTTAGGGTTTTAGGGGTTTCGGGTTTAGGGTTTAGGGGTTTAGTGTTTAGGGATTTAGGGCTTAGGGTTTAGGGTTTAAGGTAGGCACCCGCATATCTGGTGGGTCTTGCCATCTACCTACTGGACAATGCGAATGCGGCTTCCTATTTAGGGCCTCGAGAAAAAAAAAGAGAGATGTCCCAAGATTGACCTAAGTTTCTCAAGCGTTGGCCCGCTCAGCCCGTTCTCAGGGTTTAGGGTTCAAAATCCCTAAACCCTAAACCCTAAGCCCTAAACCCTAAAACCCTAAACCCTAAACCCTAAAACCCTAAACCCTAAAACCCTAAACCCTAAAACCCTAAACCCTAAACCGCGTAGCCCTCTCGAGTTGCCTAACATCAAGCCAGGCAAAACCCTGGTGCATACATCGAAATCCTCGAACCTAAACCATTAAATCCTGAACCCTAGATCCTTGCTCCTTAACCACAAAGCCCATTCATTTCGGCATGCAAGTGTATTTTGTGAGAAAGAATTTCCATAGACGGTGGGAACCCACCAACAATCGACCCGCAACTTTATCATCCTTCTTAGAGGTACCCTCCCCCCCCCCGGCAAAAAAAAAAATGTACCGCCAAGTTTGGAAACAACCACCCCCATACAAACCTTAAACCTTAAACCCTAAACACCTATACCGAGTCTAAGCAAAGTCCTAAAACCTATAGTCCCCCTTAAGTAGATAGAATATGGCTTTCAGTATATCATAACAAGATCCCCATATACCCCATATTTCATCTACTGAAGGGGGACTATAAGCCCACAAGGCTTCAACCTGGGAACCCCAAGTTGGACCCCAAACTCCAATCCGTCCTCAGCCGCAAATCTAGGGTTTATAGGGTTTTGAGGGCATGGAAATTAAGCTTTAGGGATGGGGGTTTAGGTTTTCGGGGTTAAGCTTGAAACCTTCAATCCCAAAAATCCTAGCGGCACACCCCAAAACTCAAAACTCCTCCACCCTAAACTGTACACTCTTGACCTTCAAACCTGCATCCTTAAACCGCTAAACCCTAAACACTTAACCCTTACACCCTCTGGAAAACCCTACAACTCTAAACTGAATCCTAAATCCCAAACAGTCCCTAAACCTGAACCATACACCCTAAACCTTAAACCTTAACCTTACACCCTCGGCTACCAAAGCCCGAATCCCCGAACCTGAACCGGCCTCGCGGAGCCAACCAATCTCGAAGGCCAGGGAGAAGCCCATGGGGTCGAAGCCCTCCTCCTCACCTTCAAGGGGATTTAGGGGTTCAGGGGTTTAGGGTTCAGGGGTTTGGTTTAGGGTTTATAGGTTTGGGGCTTGGGATTTAGGGGTCAGGCAGTTTACCCTAAGCCCTAAAATCCTAAAGCCTGAATGTGGCAACCCTTCACATCAGGACTTTCCCAGATCTGGGTCGGATATAGGGCTGCGGGCTTAGGGTTCAGGACTTAGAGCTTAGAGTTTAGCCCTTCGGGCTTAGGATTTAGAAATCTGGCTTCAGCGGCTTAGGATTTTAGCTTGAGAGGGCTTAAGCATCAAGCTTCATGCTTTACCCTCCCCCAAACTAACACATAAATCTGTGAAGCACCTGCTTAAAGGACAGTGGGTTTCTACGGGGCGGACTATCACGTTGGTTGAGCCCTAAACCGTGAACCCTAAACCGCGCACCTTAAAAACTTAAACCTAGAATATTGGCTTAAAACCTAAAACCTAAACTTGGTAATTATCTAAGCTTGAAACCATGGGCCCATAGTATGGACCCTGAACGCTGGGATCCTTCAAAACCTACCATATACCCTATATGTAGTCTTTAAGAGTCCCTAGAATCCCCCCCCAAAAGGCCTAAGGGCCCATGTTAGGAAGCCATAGAAATTACGGAAGCTTCTACATTAGGTCTACTTTAAGTACCCTAAGTTCGAAGTATACTAGGACTATGGGACTATATAATTGGGGGTTACTTTGGCTTCTACATGTTGCTTTGTTCAAGGCTCCATCCTGCCATGGACCAATGGAGGGATTTGTGGGCTTCCAATGGAGCTGGGAAATGTTGGGTTTAGGGTTTAGGGTTTAAGGTTTTGCTGAGGAGTCCTGAGCTCCCGCAGCGGTTTAGGGTTTAGGGTTGCAAGCAGCATAAAGGTACCAAATACAATACTGGCACGATCCTGACCCACTTTTGGAGGTCGTTTACCAGATACATTTCTATTGTCCTACTAGCGCCTGGCGTATGATTGTTTGGCCTAATCTACCTCAGGTCCCCCTGCGCCCGCGCTGTGCTATTGTTTTCCCAAGGTTTATGTAGTCCTGGTTATCCCTAAATAGTCTTAATTACGCGGGCGAGTAAGGCGACCCATGACTACCAAACTAACCCCGAGACCCGAAAGTCAGTGGACAAACCTCCAAACTTTTTACCCAAACCCAAAACCAGACACCGTTCAACCCCAAGCCCGTAAAAGCCCTAAACCCCAAAAATCCTGAAACCCCGAAACCCTAAACTTCCTTCTCCCTGAAACCCTAAACCTTCAAACCCCTAAGCCCTAAGCCTGAACCCCCAACCGAAATTTCCAGGTCCTCACCTGGGATTCCCTCCAGAGCCGGGGACATTGGGAGGAATGGCACCTAAGGTCAAAAGGGTTCAGGGCTGAGGGTTTTAGAGTTCAGGGTCTTAGGGTTTAGGGTTACGGGTCGGGAGGCTTAGGGTTTTTAGTGCTAAGGGCTGCAGAATTTGGATTTTTTGGGGTCTAGGGTTGAGGGTTTCAGAGCTCAGGGTTTATTTAGGGCTTTCAGTTTATCGTCTGTTTTGGTGGTTGAGCCAGAAAAGATAGTATGGAAGTTCATGCAGCGCAGCAAATTAGGGGTCCCTTTTCGGGGCTTGCTCAAACATGAGAACAGAAGTATTTTGGGGACGATTTTGGTGTCCCTCTACCTTTCAAACCTGCTTCACGGGCTGATCCACTTCAATCTTGGAAGGCTCGAGAATCTGAACGTTTGAAATGCTGGAAGGAGTGGTTCGATCTGGGGCTTGGTTTGTTCATCATTGCGGATGCTTTGCCTTAAGCCCTAATCCCTAAATGCCTAAGCCCCTAAACCCAAAGCGCCTAAACTTCAAACCTCAAACCGTAAACCCTTTGACCCTAAACCCCCGGACCCTAACCTCATGAACCTTAAACCCCTAAGCCCCAAGATCCTAACTCTTCTTTGGCCGTCGACTTCGCGAGGCCTTGAAGGGGGTGGCTAGAACATCTCCGTCAAACGACTCCACTTCTGGCATATCAAGGCTTAGGGCTTGGGGTTCAATTAGGATGAAGTTTGGGATCATGGCCACTATGTTGCCCCATACTTTAAGAAGTCGTGGGGGCCGTGCGTTTTTCATGGTTTAGGCTTCAGGGTTTAGGGTTTAGGGCGCAACCCTTTAACCCTACCTAGGCTAAGGAACCCATCGCCATGGCTAGTTCAGAACTTGGCCCACCCCTACCCCTAAACCCGAAAAGCCAGAACCTAACCCAAACCCAAAACCCAGGAACCGTAATCTAAACCCTAAATTCAAAGCCCGAAACTTCTGAGGCCTAAACTCTAAACCTTACGTGAGCCATAGTCTGAACTCCTAGGATCACTCTTAGTAACCCCTCTTTCCAATCCATATACCACTTTTTAGGAGTTTAGACCCTAAAACCTAAGCCCTATACTCCGCTATATAACGACTTTAGGGAGTTTAGACTATATCTCCTAAACCTTAAAACCTATATAATCCCCTATATAACCCCAAACCCTGAACCCTATCAGGAATTTAGACTGTAGCTTACATGAACTTCCATGTGTTCGAGGTGCGGCTGCACTCATCTTGTAGCCAGCCTGCCTCCAAACACACACGAATCACTCAGGGAAATTAATATATAGGGGATTATGTAGGGTTTAGGAGCTATAGTCTCAACTCCCTGAAGGGGTTATATAGGGGACTATAGGGTTTAGGTTTTGGGGTCTAGGGTTGAAGGCTTCAGGGTCTACTGGCCTTCAAGGTAACTGTTTCTACAAAGGGGGAAGAATGACCTTCTGTAAGGCCCAGTTTGGACGGATTAGGTCCCAGCGACAGTCTTAGGAAGGTTGACCCTAAACGCTAAATTTTGGGGGGTTTAGGGTTTAAACCCTAAACCCTGGACCCTAAACCCTAAAACCTAAAACCCTAAACAAGATGCTGGTCCTGGCATCCCAACGCAAAGCCTTAACATTGGGCTGGGAGACGAACTGGGTTATAGTTCCCCTTAAGTAGATAGAATATGGGGTATATGGGGATCTTTCTATAATATACCCAAAGCCATATTCTATCTACTTTTAGGGGGACTAAACGTTTGAAGAACTTGATTTAAGTCCCTCTAATATGGATATCTAAATAGTACGTAGTATGGTTTCCGCACGGTAGTAACTTAGTTCTGTTCCTTAACAGCAGCCCAGTTTAGGCAACATTCGGGAAGCTAGAGCCTTAAACATAGGACCCAAGGAAGAGCCCCCTCGATTGCATCCAATTAGCAATAGATGGCAATAAGTAGTGAAGATACACGTTTGCTTGGAGGTCCATTGTACTTATAACCTACTTAGTAACTATAATTATAACCCAATTATATCTAGGCTAACTATAATTACGGGACTTAAATTTAGGTTATAACTACAGTTACTAAGTAGGTTATGAGTACAACGGACCCCCAAGTGGTTATGGTACACAAACGGGCCTGAGGTTTCCAGTTCATGCTCTATTTCCTTTTGCAGTTGATTCTCCATTTACTCCCCCCACTCCAGACCCCAAACCCCAAACCCTGAACCTAAACCCTAAACCCTAAGCTGCTTTCCCTTGATCTCTTACTACTTCGGAGTACAGGAACCCATTGTTTTGGGTAACCAGGCCTACATCCGAGACTTCGCCCCGAAGAGCACTGGGACCATCTTGCAAGCGGTACCCTTAGGGCTTGGGGTTTAGGACTAACGGGTTTAGGGTTTAGGGTTTAGGGTTTAACTTATACCCTACACCTTAAAGACTTTAGGGTTTAGGGCTTAAGATATACCCTACACCTTGGAAAACTTTAGGGTTGAGGGTTGAACCTATACCCTAGACCTCAAAACCCTACAGCCTAGCTCCCAATGTCAGAGCATGCTGCACACCTTACAGGCAACAAAGAAAGGCCCCGAAGATCATTCATGAACAGGCTCCCTCACACAACAATTAGGGATCTTAATTACTATCCCCAAATACCATCAAGACTGAACCCTAAACTCTCAAGACTAAACCCTAAACCCTGAACCCTAAACCCTAAACCCTGAACCTTAAACCCTAAACCCTAAACCTTCACCGAGAGCGCACCTGGCCACGTTGCTGCGCGTGGCTGGCCCATGTCCGGCAGCGAACGCACCGGAGGCCTTGCAGTTGACGGGATCTAGGGTCGTACTTGCAGGGTCAGGGGGCTTAGTAAGTAGGTTTATAACCCCTATAACCCATATAGTAACCCTACTTATCCCCATTACTAACCCTCTAACTAAGTCCCCATGACCCTCCAAGTAGGCTTCTAGGGGCCTTAGGGATCTTGCGGGACTATGAGGGGTCCTTGTTAAGGATTAAAGGGGGATGGAGGAATCTAAGGTTTGGGTTTGGAATATAATAGGTTCTGGATTTGGGGATTCAGGCGTGGGGTTTAGGTTGGGTACTGCCCCCCCTCAGTAACAGTTGGATATTCATTATAATATGATTATATATAGCCCTTAATAGGACCCCTGATATAAACTGTTACTGGGTGGGGGCAGTACCCAAGATTTAGGTATCCGGATAGCATAGGACCATGTGGACGCTTGACACGGGGCCACTTCAACCTCGCACCTACACGGGATCAATCAACAATATTCCAGTGCAATCCTCACTAACCAGAGGTTTCGGGTTTAGTTACCGTTACTTAGGGTTTTTGGGGGGGGAAAATTTCTAGCTTAAAATTTTGAAAGTAAGGAAAGTAGGGTGCCCTAAGTAATGGTAAGTTTATATGGGCTTGAGGGCTTAGGGCTTACGGCTTAGGGCTTCAATATCGAAACAGGTCCATCCCGACAGAGTTCTCTCGCGTTGAAACACCCCTAGCCCTCGATCCTCCCCCTAAACCCTATGAATTCCCATATAGCTCCACAAAGGGATCCACTTGAACCCTACGCTTGCTGAACCCTCAACTTGGTAGGGAATGGAAGAATCAATGCCCATAGCGGTCCCTAGACAATCCCCAAGCACAACCCACAAAGCTCCAGGAAGACTTTAGCATGATGATGGTTTAAGGCTTAGTTTGCATTCCTTGGCAACCACCAGAACCTAGACCCGAACCCCAAACCCTAAACTCTAAACCCTAGTCTAAACACCAAATCCTAGACACCCTAACCCTGAATCCAGACCCTAAACCCTACACCCTAAACCTTGGAATCTAAAAGTAAACTTCATTTTCCAAGAACATCCCACATGTCCTTGGCCACGGAGGCGCCAAAGCCGCTGCGGGACTCCTCCTAGGGGTGAGGGGGGCTCTCAGGGACTAATCCGATTTTGGGCTTAGGGTTTAAGTTTAGGGTTAGGATTTGGGGTTTACATCTCAGGGTTGAGGGTTGGGGGCTTAGGTCTCAGGGGTTGATGGAGGAAATCCTGCGCCACCCGGGACTCTAAACTACTGTAAATTTCTCGAGGAATTTAGGGACTTGGGTTGGTCCAGCCTTTGCAAGCTTCCCTCCATCAACAGTATCTTAAGCGAATGTCTAAGGTTCTCCGTTAAACATCCTTCATCTGCCTAACCATACAGGTGATACATCAGGGTCACGCACATAGCAATCTGGAGACCGCATCTGCAGTAGCGCTCCAGGCTTTGAGAAGTCTTTTGGGGCTTATGTTGGGCACAGCCCCCACCCAATAACAATCTATAATGGAAGGGCTATAATATAATACATATATAAAATAATATCAAGTAATATACTATAATACATATTAAAGAAATATGTATACATATATATTTTAGTATATGCATATACATATACATATATATATATATTCTGCACCTGTTACTGAATGGGGGCAATATCCAAGGCGTACGAGCTTTGGGAGCCTAGGTCTGGGATTTAGGAATCAGAGCTCCTCCAACAGTGTGAAAGCGTGGAAGATTAGGGCTATGGGTTTAGGAGATTACCCCTATTTTGTCTAACAATCCTGAGGTATTATGTACTGCTCCCCACCTAGTAACAATCTTTGGGGTCATATTCAAGGCTTTACATATTCAAACCAAAACAAATATCCGACTGCTGCTGAGTGGGGGGAGTACACAACTAATGCAACTACATCCCAAGGTCCTATTCCAATTGTTCAAGCTACTACATTGAGGACTATATGAGCTCCAGTCAAGTTTTCCTAGTCAGTTTGATGGGCATGGTTTCCTTGTTAGGGGCTATATTAGGGACTATACTGCAAAACACCAGAGAAACCCCTACGCCCACGCCTGATGGCCCCTTGGTAGGCTAATATTGACAGTAGCTCATATAACCCCTGTACTCCACCATCTAACCCAAGTTTTCTGATTTCTTTTCCATATGATTCTCCATTGGAGGGAAAATATTCCACTAAACCCGAATATTGCCAGTAGCTCATATAGCTAAATCCTAAACCCAAAACCCTAAATCCTCAACCCTAAACAACTAGGCCAAAAGCTTCTCATCTGCTTGTTAGACTTTTCAACTGCTGTTGACTGATAATGAAGTGAAAGTCGAGATACAGGAACAAATCTATTACTTAAGTTTAAACTGGTTGGAATAGGAACCATTGGTTTGTCAGCCTCCCGTACGACCGCGGGAGAAAGAACAAACTCGAATAAAAAATCTGAGGGGAGGTTCCTGAGGGTTTAGGTTTTAGGGAGGCTTTGTTGTCATCAGGGGAAACGAATATGACGATACACCTTGCACGGTTTTACAGTCTTGTGAACAGCAACTAGCATGACAATTGTATGACCAGGTTTCAGCGCGCGCTGAAACTGCACATTGAAATGTATCCTGCCTCCTCCGCTCCCGAATCCCTAAACCCTAAAAACCCCCAAACCCTAAACCCTAAACCCTAAAAACCCCAAAAGCCTTCTGCGCGTAAAGCCAGGGGAAGCCGTTGCCGGTCAGAGTGGCCTGCGGTTCAGGGCTTTGCAGTTCACTTCAATGAGGCTAGGGACAGGAGGGTTCAGGGTTTAGGATTTAGGGGATTAGGGTTTAGGATTTAGGGTTTAGGGTTTAAGGGTTTAGGATTTAGGGTTTAGGGGATGAGGGTGTAGAGTTCATATGAGCTATAGTCTAAACTCCTAGTATCCCCTTTAATAAACTCTGTAATCGTCCCCTATGTAATGACCTACATAATCCCCTTTAAGGAGCTTAGACTAGAGTTCATATGGTCTGTCGGTCTTATCTTCAGTGTGCGCATTTAGGGCTTTAAGGCTTACGATCTAGGACATGGGGCTTAGGGTTTCTTCCCAAAGTTCCGCGTAAAGGGCGCACGCCAAACGCTAAGCCCTGAACCCTAAACCCCAAACCCTGAACTCTAAACCCGAAACCCTAAACCCTGAACCCTACACCCTACACGGTACACAAAGAATTGCTTGGGAACTGTTCTTCTACCCCGGCTGGAATGCCAAACCCTAAACCCTCAAACAACTGCCCAGGTCATGTACGAGCGATGCTTACCGTACTGGTCGGCTCAACCAGCTGACGGCCCGTCTAGGATTTAGGGTCTTGAGATCTAGGGTTTAGCGTTTAGGGTCTGGGAATTTGGCCGTGTGCACCACTCTCACATAGGGCCACATAGGTAAAGATTCCCGACGAAGCTACCTCAATTCGACACAGACTGCAAGAAATCCTTGCAAAAGGGCACCTCAATCACAGTGATCCCTAGATTCCCGATGTAAACCTGTGAAACATCGACATATCCCCCAAACCCTTATTGAATCTAATTATACAGAAAGTTTCCATTGTCCTTTCCGTTTCCCTACGTAGCCGCTCTAAAGGGCGTCGATGACAAAGGGCAGTGCTTTAGAATCCTAAACCCTAAACCCTAAATCCTAAACCCTAAATCCATAACCCTAAATCCTAAACCCTAAATCCTAAACCCTAAACCCTAAACCTCTTCTGCCTGGGTGATGGCACCACCGAAGGCAAGCATTGCCAGGCGTCCGTTTTTCAGCTCCTTGAGCCTCATCTCCTCCGTAGGCGTTAAGGTTTTGTAAGGTTATAATTGGGATGATGGAAAAGAAAATGGAAACCCCTATGGTATAGGGTTTAGGGTTTAGGGTAGGAGCATAAAGGAGGTAGATGAGAAATGGCACAGGGGCTTATAGGGGATCTTCTCCCCAATTTTTGCGGATAGGGAATGGGCCGGAGGGCTTGAATTTACCATGTAAGGTTCATCATTCAGGGCTTAGGGGTCGGGATGCAGGGCTTGGGGTTAAGGATCTAAGGTTTAGGGTGCGGGGGTCACGGCTCAAGATGTGGGGCTTGAACTGGGGGTGCATATATCGACAGGATTTAGAGCTTGGGGCCACAACTGAGATAGAGGACTGTTGACAAGGGGTCGCTATAAGGATACTGCTGGGCTGCACTGGGAATATTCATACTGCCAAACTCATGTGTAGAAGGCTTAGACCCTAAACCTTGAGACCTAAATCTAGACCTCAAACCCGAAGCCTGACCTGCAAACCTTACACCCCAAACCCTAAACCCTAAACCCCCAAACCTTACACCCTAAACCTCTAACCCTGCACCTTCAACCTTGGACCCCAAGCCTACAACCCCAAACCGTAACCTGTTAACCCCAAAACCTTCAACCCCAAACCCTAAAAAGTTGGGCTTTGGAGGTTCCAGGCTCACAATTCCGTATTTTTTGCATTGGGATTGAACTTCCCGATGATCTTGAATTTCCATACTAGCATAGTGGAGGGTGAATTCCTGGGCTTTCCTGGGCCGCGAACTTGCTTGTTTGAAGTACTCGTAACTGACCTTGAAGCCTACAGCAAACCCCTAACCTTTTTCACATTGTTGGGGCCTCGGAGTTTGCATAGATAGCTTTTTTGGCTGCAAACCATGGAAAACTTGTCATCCCGTCGGATCTTTTCAAGTACGGTACGATTCACTTGTACATGAGTTGCGTGATTCCATTGGCATGACGTGACACTACAAAGCCTCACCCCACGGAACCTTCTGATGACGATAGGCAGCGGCATCTCATGAAGCCCTGTGCCATGCTGAAAGGAGCTTGAGGCTGAGGACAGCCGGTCGAAGATGCATGCAGGCCTGGCGATCTTGAGCCCCCGACTTGGGCTGGTCGTTGTGGTGCACACAGCCAGCAGGATAAAACGCCGTGGCAAGCAAGCAGTGATACTCCCACGCAGAGCCATGCCGAGTGGCTTGTGACTGCGCATGCCTGTCTTGCAGCAGTGCCAAATTGGCAACAGCCCACCTTGCCCCAGAAATAGTAAGGCACAATCGGTGCTTTCTTATTCGCCGGGGCCTCTTCGATTGTCGCTGCTGGCTCTGTTGAGTCAAATGACCCCTCTGGCTTTGTCTCCTTGGCACTCTGGTTGCAAGCATGTGTAGCATACTCATAATTCTTCAGCATCACGTTGTGCAACCTGCGCTAAACGTTGACCCTTTAGTTTTAGGGTTTAGGCTTTAAGCTTTACGCTTTTGGCTTTGGGCTCTAGCGATTAAGGTTTATGGGGACGCTTCCAAGGCCTAATCCTTAAGACTTTGACCCAAAACCCGAACACCTTCAACCCTAAGCACTAAAACGTGACACCGAAACACTGAAACCCTAACCCTAAATCCTCAACTGGAACCTCTAAACCTTGAACTCTAAACCCTAAACTCTGAACCCTAAACCCTCAACGCTAAACCCCGAACCCTACACTCTAAAGCCTAAACCCCAAACTCTAAACCCTAAACACCCCTGAAAATTCTCCGACCTTCGCCTTCACGGGGTCTTCAGGGAGGAAGTTCGTGCCGAGCTTGTAATCGCCTCTGAAGGATTTAGGGTTTGGGATTTAAGGTTTAAGGTTTACGGATTTAGGGCTCGGGGTTAAGAGATTCAGGTTTATGGGTTTGAAGGGTTTAGGGATAAGGCCGTAGAGCCTTGGGGAACTTGGCTCAAGCCTTAGGGTTTTAGAGGGTTTCAAGGATTGAGCCTTTGAGTTTTGAGGCTCAGCTTTTCGGGCTTCTGGGATTTTAGGGCTTTAAGAATTCTAGTTTTCGGAACTAGGTATTAAGGTCTAGGGCTTTTTGGGTTAGACCTTAGGTCTTAGGGAGTAGGGCTTAGAGTTTAGGCTGTATTGGCAGGATTTGACAATGTTCATGGGATTCTGGTAATTGGATACTTCTCAAAAACCTTGGTACCCTTCAGGTGAATAGGGTTCATGAAGCGATTATGAAGGCTCCCAGTTCAGGGCTGCATAACAATAACGTTCTCGAGCTTACGGTTGCGCAGCACTGCTTCAACAGCAGGCCCATCTCTGGTCAGCTAGCAGTAATAAGGGGCTTTTGGTAAACCCAACCCCAAAAGTAGAACCCCATGACCATCATATGATGGTTATAAGGTCCTAATTCGGGGGGTTGGGGTTACCCAAATCCCCTTGTACAGCAAGCAAGTTTCGTGGCACTGGTCCCTGTAAGTTCCTCAAGCAGACGAGCCGACGGGCAGAGCTTTGCAGCTGGGACGTATTTGAGCCCAGCTCCAGGGACATGGTGAAAGCCGAATCGGGGTTTTGGGTTTAGGGCTTCGGGTTTACGGTTTTAGGGTTTAGGACTTCGGGTTTAGGGCTTCGGGTTTAGAGCTCAGGGTTTAAGGATTAAGCCTTAGGGTTTAAGGATTAAGGTTTAGGGTTTTGGGCTTCGGGTTTAGGGTTTTAGGGTTTAGGGTTGAGCCCCGAGTTCGCGCGCGAGTAGGGAGGGCAACGAATGCAGCCTGCGTGCACTTTGCCTCGTGGAGGGTTACTAAATACGGCTCCAAAACTCCAAAGGAGGCAGGATTCATTCAAAAAACTGAAGGGCCTCACGCAGTGAATATTCATAAAACTCGGAAAATCCGGTTTTGTTTTTTCTGTTTTCGGTTTAGGGCAGAGAGGCTGGGGCTTGGGGTAATCAACTCCTGATTTCGGGTTTCGTGGAGTTTTCGGTGTTTGGTCGAGGGTCAAGACTTGGGGGGTTTAGGATGAAAGGCTTTGGTTCGGGAAAGGGGGCAAGGTGCTAAGGGGGGACATGTGGAGTCGAGCTACGGACTAGGTCACTTTTTTAGGGTTTAGGGTTTAGGGTTTAGGGGTTAGGGGTCAGGGTTTAGGGTTTAGGGTTTAGGGGGTTTTACACAAAGACCCTGATGATTGGAAAACTTGCATATTCGCAGGACACAGACAGAGAGTGCCAGGATTGAATGGTGGGTTTTGTTTAGAATTTAAATTGGGTACTGCCCCCCCCCCAATAACAGTCTATATTAGGGTTCCTATTAAGGGCTATATATAACCACATGATAATTATTAGCCAACTGTTACTGAGGGGGGGCAGTATCCAAGTTTAAACAACATCGCCCCTTAAATCGTTCTAGAGATTATACAGCAGAGCAACCAAAGCCTAAAGCCTGAAGCTTCAACCCTAAATAAACCCCCAAAACCCTCAACGCTATGCCCTAGAGCCTTTTCAACCCTAACCCCCGTAATCCCACACATCCTAGAGCCTCTAAATTCAAAATCGATCTCTTCAAAGGCAGAAGTACTTGGGACTCACGAGGGTTCCTATGTAGACACTGAGGCTCAACAGCGTTTAGGGTTTAGGATAGTTGATAAAAACTTCCAGTTTCAAACACACACAACGCAAAAAAAATTACCCCAGATTTTCCCTGTAAACCTATAAGATCTTCAAATAGTTTCCCTGCAGGACACTTACATCAAGACCTTAAACACTCAACCTTAAACCCTAAACCCTAAACCCTAAACCCCAAACCCTACATACCTAAACCCTAAACCCCTTTAGGGGCTTAGAGGCGAAAGTCTGATTCCTGCCTGCTGTCTCCAAGGTGAGGCCAGGCTTGTTCGAGACGTTGCAGGACTGCGCTGCTTTGGTTTTTAAGGTTGAGGGTTTAGGTATGTAGGATTTGGGGCTTAGAGTTTGTAAGATTGAGAGTTTAGGGTTTAGGATTTAGGGTTTAGGCTTTAGGCCTTGGGGTGTAGGATTTAGGGCTAGGGTTTGTGGCTTAGATTCTACGGGTTCGGGGCTAAAGGCTTCGAAATCTGGAGGTTTCAGGCTAAGGCTCAGCGGCCAAGTCTCGAAATAGTAGTTTAGGCTACCATATCGGAGGCTCTACTTTCTAGATCCTTCCAGGAGTCTGGGCAATCTGTTAGGATTTATTTTCGGCAAGGAGCCCCACATGACCTGACCAAAAACTATACCGTGAGGTACATTGAAAGCCCTCAACACAATCAAATGAACGGGTCCTCTTATACAACAATAGGGGTCATCGCTGACAATCCCGGGCAAAAATCCTCCTAAACCCTAAACCACAAACCCCCAATCCCAACCCGAAACCCCAAACCCTAAGCCCTAAGCCCTAAACCCTCAAGCCTAAGCCCTAAACCTTACTTTTGGGGACTCTTAGCGTATTTATCAGTTTCTGAAAACAGGATACACCTGGTTATCCGAGGGATACATACGGGGACCGTATGACCCTTCTGTAGCTTAGGCTTAGGGTTTAGGGTTTAGGTCTCCTGTTTAGGGACCCTGTTGGGGTCATGCTTGGACCCTAAACCCTAAACCCTCTTGCGCTGGTTGATGCCCGCTACAGCGCCCGAGAACCCCGAATCTCCCTACAGCAACTGAGACGCGAGGCACTCGAATGACGAGTTAGGCTTTCCCTTAACACCCACATGAGCTGTAGTCTAAACTCCTTAAAGGGGGCTTATATAGGGGACTACTATAGGGGGATAGTAAGGGGGATACTAGGAGTGTAGACTATAGCTCACATGACAAGGAGTTGCTGGGGTTTAGGGCTTAGGCTTAGGAAAACACGACCGTCAACGTGAGGGCTTGATGCCTCCCATTCGGATGTGGTGCGAGGGTACCCCTGACGTCCTTCTTATTCAAATACTCGACGCCCCGAGCGTAGAAAACTAAAAATTCTACGGCTTCAAAACTTAAAAATCAATTCCAGGGCAACCCCCGTATTGAGTCTGGCCCCCAAGCTATGTGGATTCTTCAAGGAATCTTGGATACTACGGGGTGGGAAGGGTGTTTACCTTCGTGGCAAACGGTGAACACTGGCTAAAGTGGAGTAGTTCGCCAACTTCAAGTCCGCGTAAACCCACCTGTGGGACGAGGTCAAGTAAGGTTACAATCCCCTTAGTTAGATAGAATATGGCTTTGGGTATATTATCATAAGATCCCATATACACCATATTCTCTCTACTTAAGGGGGACTATAGTGTAATCTCCCCAGAATTCACATCTCCCTAGGGTCCTTCTGAAGCACTCCGAAATGGTAATTTTCAGAAACTCCTTCATGGGGTTTCCGTACGACCCCAATCCACCTGAAATCCTGAACCAGAAACCTAGTGCCTAAATCCTAAACACTTAACCCCCAATCCTCAACCCTAAACCCTCTCAAGCTAGGAGTTCCAAATCCTAACCCAAGCCCAGGGAAGCAAAAAGCCTTGGCGAAAGTCGTCAGCATCTCGATGAAGCCGCAAAAGGCATAGACCTAGGATTCAGGATGAACTAAGGCTTCATAGTTTAGGGTTCAAGCTGCAAGGGTTTAGGGTTTAGGGCTTAGGGTTTAGGGTTCAGGGTGTAGGGTTTAGGGTTTAGGGTTTAGGGTAGGTTTAGGGTTTAGGTGGATTATGGATGGAGGAAATCTTGCACTTTCTGCTCTCAACGTGTTGTACATACCATTATGGCGATAATATAGGGTGGTGCAAGATTTCCTCTATCCACACCGGGATTATGGATTTAGGCTTCAGGGTTCGGGGCTTGGGGTGTAAGGGTTCAGGGGTTATTTAGGCTTAGGATTTAGCGTTCAGGATTTACGGTTTCAGGGCTTAGGGTTGATGTCGACGGGGTTGGTCAGGATCCGACTTGTCCAGGGTGTAGGGGTGCAAGGGGGCTAGGCTGGTAGAAGAATCTAAAGGAAGGAACGCCAAAGTCCTCAACCCTGAACCTGATATATCCCTACATATCCCTACGAGCCTTTCAAAAGCAACTCTTAACTACGAGGCACTAAACCCTAAAGCCTGAATCCCAAACCCTATGAAAACCTAAACCTTAAATCCCAAACCCTGTACTAAACCCTGAATCACCCCGACCCGTAGTCCAAATAGAGGTTACAATATTCTTCTCCCAAGATGAGCCCACATAGTCCTCATTTTCACCGCAAACCCTGGGGTTTAGGGTTTAGGCGGCGGATTGTATATCCTCAATTTAACCCTGAACCCCAAGCCCTAAACCCTAGATCCTGAACCCCACACCCCAAGACCATGAGCCCAAAACCCTTAAACCCTAAACCACAAAAACCTAAACCCTAAACCCTTAAACCCTAAACCCTTTTTATCAAAAGACCAGATCACCTGGAAAAGAGGGCCAGTCTGGTCGTCGTTGCCAGCGAAGAAGTCCTGCTTGGAGACTCATGGTATTTACGGTGGATACTAAAAATCCTGCATGACCCTTAATACATTATACCTTGGGAATTAGGGTGCTTTAGTATACTAAGGTCATGCAGGACTTTTAGTATAGACAGTAGTAACTTGTTTTGGAGTTTGGGGTTAGGGTATAAGGCTTAGAGTTGAGGATGTGGGTTCCATTGTTTAGCGCTGAAGGGCCTCGGGCTGGTAACTGTCCGACTTTCCATGTGTTATCCACTTCTCTCAATTTTCAGGCCCCTAAGCAAAGTACCCTAAATTCTGAGTATTCGAACCCCTACACCACTTGGAGGTTCGTGGAACTTACCATAAGTAGGGTTACAACCTCAGTTACGGTTGTAGGCTTTGTGGGTTCTGCAAGTTCTATAGGGTCAATATGATTGATGGGGCCTATAGGAGTTATAGGGCTTGCTTGGATTTATGAGATTCATAGGAATAGAGGGGTCTATAAGGCTTATACGTTTTCTGGCTTAGGCTGCATGGTGCATGGGGTATGCGGCGTAAGGGTGAGGATTTAGGGTTTAGGAATGAGGTTTTAGGGGTGAGGGTTTGCGGTTTAGGCTTTAGGAGTTGGGGATAGGGATCAGGGTCTAGAGGTTCGGGGGGTCAAAGGCCATACTGCCTGGGCTGTTATATGTAGCATGCACACGCGGAACCACAGTCACTGTCCCGGACCCTTACAAGAATCCCCATTACCTTGGTGTTGATATAAGGAATGGTAGCTTCTCAAAATAGGGGGAACCCCAATGTAGACCCCCATTTTACGATAGCAAAAATGATGGGGACCCAACATGGTACCCTAATTTTGGGAAAGCCCCAAATCTGGCATGACCTTATGATCAGAGGGTACTTGGGTCCTGCAGGTTTCTTGTCAACAGGCGTCCTATGCCCAAAACCAAAGCTCTCCATAGGAATAAAGGTTTAGGGTTTAGGGATTAGGCCTCGTCTCCAAGAAAAACACTGAACCCTAAATCCTAGATCCAAGCCCCAAAAACTGCATCCAAAAGCCTGCAGACCCGAACCCGGGCCTACCACCAGGGTTAAGGCCAAATGGCTAGCAGAAAAGGACACAAGGGCTTATAACGGCTCATAATCAGGGGTTAAGGTTTAGGGTTTCCAGGGCTGTCAGAGTTTCCCCTTGAAACTCTTTTCTCTTGAGCGAGCCTGAGTAGCAACTGCATAGGTTGGGGAACAGACTATACTGGAAAACCAAATAGGAAATGGAACATGAAATGGAACTTGGGATTGTACAAGGGTTTATAGGGACCTTGTATTGTAGGGAGGCAGACAGAACTGCTATTTGAGGCATCCATAGCACAAGCATGCAAGGACTCTTGGACCACAACATTGGCAAGTATCCGTACCAAAAAAACTACATAGCGCCAGCTCCCATGCCCTTGTCCATTTGATCCTGCGTTTTTACTATGATATACGCAATTCTCTAGGCCCCTACCTGACTTTCGAGACCCTAAACCCTAAACCCTAAATCCTAAACCCTAAATCCTAAACCCTAAATCCTAAACCCTAAACCCTAAACCCTGAACCCTACCCGCACCGCGAGCCCCAAGAGGGTCCCCTGTGTTCACCAGGAAGGGGAATGGCGGGTTGCCAACGCAAGCGTTGTGTGCATCCTCAGCAGTCTTCTGCAGTTTAAGGTTTAGAGTCCAGGGTTTAGAGTTTGGGGGGTTTAGGGTTTAGGATTTAGGGTTTAGGGTTTAGGGTTTAGGGTTTAGGATTTAGGGTTTAGGATTCAGAGTTTAAGATTTAGTGCCTTGAGTCAAGGTGAGTTGAGAGTTTAGGGTTTAGCGTTCAGTTTTTTAGGGGTGAGGCCTCGTAGCGGACGTGCAGCACAAAGCTTTGTTGGCGACGCTACGTAACTACGTCACGAAAGACTGATGTCATCTGCAATACAATTGAGCTATAGTCAAAACTCCTAGTATCCTCTTAATGCTCCCCGACACTACTCCCCTATATGATGCCCTGTACAACCCCTTTAAGGAGTTTAGACTATAATACGAAAGACCAAAGGGTGGTTATCAGTTAGGTGCTTGCCTACCTAAGAACGAGGAGGTGCTTCCATATTGATGGTAATGTAGACCCCTGATAAACCAAACCAACCCCCTCCCCTTAATAGCGATTGTATAAGTATAAGGGATCCTAACACTAATGCCCAAAAAAAGAGGGGCTTTGTTAATCACGGATATAGATTCTTTGTTGTGCACAAGCGTGCGCAAGCGTTCGAAATGAGGTGATTGAGATCCGCGGGGTTTAGGGTTCAGGGTATAGGGCGAGTATCACTTGGACAGTTACGGTTGGTTTTTTAAAGGACATTCTGATTGTAAACGAGTCACACACACAGGACCCAAAAACCTGAAACCCTAAACCCTAAACCCTAAGCCCTAAACCCTGAGCCCTAAACCCTAAAGCTTAGGGTTTAGGGCTTACCTACGTCGAACGAGGATCCCACAGTATGCTTTAAGATCAGACCCTACACCCTAAGCCCTACGCGGTTTAGGGTTTAGGGTTTAAGGCTTAGGGTTTGGGGTTTAGGGTTTAGGCCTTAGGGTTTAGAATCCTAAATCCTAAACCCCAAAAGGGAACCTAGACCATGGATCCTAAATCCTAAACCCTAAAGGGAACCCTTAACCATGGATCCTAAATCCTGAACCCTATAGGGTTTAGGGCCGGGAGGGGTCTAGATGTGGAGGTTTCTCAAAGTCCCCTGAAAACTGTAGGAATAGGGTTTAGGGTTTAGGATTCAGGGTACAGGGTTTGGGGGCTAGGGTTTGGGGTTTAGGGTTAGGGATCCGAGGGCTTTACAGCGATGATATAAGAGGAATAAGGAGGGACGTCCCTGCTCCAGGTGCAAAAAGGCATCATTTAGAGCAAGTCCCATGGGGGGGTTTCCGAAAATTAGGGGTACCCTTTTGGAGGCCCCCATAATAAGGATTATATTATGTTGGGGTCCATATTGAGGTCCCCCTATTTATGGAAACTACCATGTGTTATCATGACTCTATTGCTCTTTACGGTCCAGAGTTGGTTTAAGTTAATGAGGGATTAATGAGGGGCAGTCCTACACCCCAATTCCCGGCACTACACCCTAAACCCCTAAACCCACCCCCGTCTGACTGTGTACTACTTGCAGTTTTCAGGGAGTCCCCATGTGGACCAGTCCATGGAGAACCAGGATGCATGATGTAGGCGCCTACATAGCAACAAGAAAAGCATTACGGGTTAATGGTTTAGAGTTCGAGGTTTAGGACTAAGGGATTAAGGTCCTGGCCCTAGGGATGAAGGTTTAGGATTGAGGGATTACTGTAAGACTTGGGGTTTAGGATTGAGGGATACTGCCCTGATAATGGATGTTCAATGGAAAATATGGAACCTTGTCCTATACAGTGGTTTATGAGGAGTCCAATGCCGTGCTGAGGTCTCCTTACCATTCTTTACAAGACCCTAGAGCCATAATTTTTGATGGTTTTTAGTGGTCAGGGTTTAGGGTTTAGGGTCTACTTATTTAACCTTCTACAGCAAGGGCGGTGTGACGCAATGAGTTGAGATTCTGCCCCAGCGCAAATGAACCCTAAACCCTAATTCCCTAATTCCCTAAACCCTAAAACCCTGAACCCCTCATTCCATAAACCCTAAACCCTAAAACCCTGAACCCCTAATTCCATAAACCCTAAACCCTAAACCCGTTATTCCCTAAACCCTAGACCCTACAGCTACCATCCCTTGTACCCTATCTCCGCATAGATTTGTACAATCCCCACTTAGGTGGGCTGGCACAAGGCTAGATGGCTCATGTTGAGAGTTTGGGGTTTAAGGTTGTAATTACTAGGAGCCAAAAGGGTTGTAATTAGAATCGCTAACCATTCAAAATCTGGCTCGTTCCTTGGCCTTTCAAGCATGAACCCCACCCTTTCCAAACTCTTCGCTACGCATCGAAAACTAAGATACGACACATCCCTGCTTGAAGGAAAAGACTTCTGAGGGTTTCCCAAAAAAGGGGGAACCCGATATAGAGCCCAAAATACTATAGTCGCTATTATTGTGAGCGCCATCATCGTACCCCTAAATTTGGGAAGCGCGAAACCCAAACCCCCAACTTGGGAAATCCACATATCCATGTTTTTGGTCAAATTTGGTGCTCGACACCTAAACCCGACACCCCAAACCCTAAACCCTTAACTCTAAACCCTAAACCCTAAACCCTAGAGTGTAAAGTTCTGAACTCTTGGAGGTGCCCCAGGTAGGTAAAAATCCTAATCATTTTGCATGCCTGATATGGGAGTTTCTCAACTGGGGGATCCCACGAACCCCAGGGATACAGTATGCAGGGATTATGAGAAGGTCATGGGAGTTCTTCTGAAAGATTGCACAGGCACCCTTTTCAGAATCTCCCATGATGTGAGTCAGCTTGGAAACGGCCCATGTACAAGAAGGAAAAGTACTTGATCCCTACATAACCCATTCTGGTAGTTTTCATTTTCTTTTCCGTTATCCCAAGAAATCCCCTATATAACCCCTAACTTGAACCGTCGGAAAAAGATTCCGGGAATTTTCAAAATCGTCTCAATGCCATCCTTGGGGAGGACCCCATGATTTAGCTGTTGACCTCATGTGTCATTACAATCCCTCGAGTGGTACATGGGTTTGCAGTAAGCATGTGATGATCAGGTACTGGTAGTCTATAACTCCCTGAACCCTAAACCCTAAACGCTAAGCCCCTAAACCCTAAACCCTCAACCCCTAAACCCTCAACCCTAAACCCTATACCCTAAACCCCTATAATCAACCTATGGGAGCTTCTCCTGCCCCCCTAATACACGTCGGGTTTAGGGTTTAGGGTTTAGGGTTTAGGGCTTAGGGTTTAGGGTGGGCCAAAGCATCCCAATTATGCTGGGAAACCCCCATATGGGGGTTCAGGGTAACAGGTTTAGGGTTGGGGGTTTTCCATCATTGGAGGTACCTTTCTGGGGGTCCCCATAATGAGGACTGTAGAATTTTGGGATCTATATTGGCGTTCCCTTATTTTGGGGAAACTACCATACGGTCATGGGTCTAAAAAGACGATGCAAGGACCTGTATAATTGAAATGGGTGTGTCAGTGAGAATGGTAGCCAGAAATATTGTAGATTTCGGAGCAATGCTTCAATATTATCATGCAAGCAACTGACCGGACGAGGCTCGGGCGAGCTATGGGGACTTTTGACAGTGTGCAGTATGCTGTTGGCACCACGCTGGGACTGCACATGCGACCTATACGCAAACAAGCAATGGGAGAACACCAACCCTCCTTCTCTGCAAATATGCACAATCTCACCCAGTACGCAGCCGTTTGAGAGTAGAGGCACCCATCTTGGCCTCTAGCAGCAGCTGAACGACCTGCGTGTGGCCGCCTTGCCGAGCAATGAAGACTGGAGTTTCGCCATCATGCCTGGCCTTGTTCTTGTCAGCGCTGGCCTCCAGCAACAGGCGAACGACTTCCAGGTGGCCTTCTTGCGAAGCCATGTACAACGCAGTTGCACCACCAGTTTCGGCGTTGTCCAGGTCAGCACTGGCCTCCAGCAACAGGCTGACGACTTCCACATGGCCTTCTTGCGAAGCCACATGCAGCGGAGTTGCAAGATCATGCCTGGCCTTGTCCTTGTCAGCGCTGGCCTCTAGCAACAGGTCAACGACTTCCAGGTGGCCTTCATGCGAAGCCATGTACAACGCAGTTGCACCGAAATTGTTGGCTTTGTCCTTGTCAACGCCGGCCTCCAGCAAGAGCCAAACGACTTCCTCGTGGCCTTCGTGCGAAGCCACATGCAGCGGAGTTGTGTCATCGTGCCTGGCCTTGTCCTTGTCGGCACTGGCCTGCAGCAACACGCTCACGACTTTCTGGTGGCTTTGATGCGAAGCCGTGTACAACGGAGTTGTGCCACGATCAGTGGCTTTGTCCGTGTCTGCACTAGCCTCCAGCAACAAGTGCACAACTTTCAGGTGGCCTTCGTGCGCAGCCATGTACAATGCAGTTGCGCCACCATTCTCAGCCTTGTTTTTGTCAGCATTGGCCGCCAGCAACTGGCGGACGACTTCACATTGACCTTCCTGCGAAGCCGCGTGCAGCGGAGTTGTGTCATCACGCCTGGCCTTGTCCTTGTCAGCGCTGGCCTCCAGCAACATGCAAACGACTTCCAAGTGGCCTTCTTGCGAAGCCATGTACAATGCAGTTGCGCCACCAGTTTCAGCCTTGTGCTGGTCAGCATTGGCCTCCAGCAACAGGCGGACAACTTCGACGTGGCCTTCTTGCGAAGCCACGTGCAGCGGAGTTGCATGATCACGCCTGGCCTTGTCCTTATCAGCATTGACCTCCAACAACAGGCTGACGACTTCCATGTGGCCTTCTCGCGAAGCCACGTGCAGAGGAGTTGTGTCATCTTGCCTGGCCTTGTCCTTGTCAGCGCTGGCCTCTAGCAACAGGTCAACGACTTCCAGGTGGCCTTCATGCGAAGCCATGTACAGCGCAGTTGCGCCGAAATTGTTGGCTTTGTCCTTGTCAACGCCGACCTCCAGCAAGAGCCAAACGACTTCCGCGTGGCCTTCGTGCGAAGCCACGTGCAGTGGAGTTGTGTCATCATCCCTGGCTTTATCTTTGTCAGCGCTGGCCTCCAGCAACACGCTCACGACGTCCGGGTAGCCTTCATGCGAAGCCATGTACAGCGCCGTTGCGCCGCGATCAGTGGCCTTATCCTTCTCAGCGTTGGCCTCGAGCAGCAGGCGAACGATGTCCAGGTGGCCTTCATGCGAAGCCACATGCAACGGAGTTGCGCCATCATTTTCAGCCTTGTCCTTTTCAGCGCTGGCCTCCAGTAGCAAGCGAACGACGTCCAGGTGGCCTTCATGCGATGCTGCATGCAGCGCAGTTGCGCCACCAGTTTCGGCTTTGTGCTTGTCAGCGTTGGCACCCAGCAGCAGACGGACGACTTCCAAGTGGCCTTCCTGCGAAGCCGCGGGCAGTGGAGTTTTGCCATCATCCCTTGCCTTGTCCTTGTCAGCGCTGGCCTCCAGCAACAAGCGAACGACTTCCAGGTGGCCTTCTTGCGACGCCATCCACATTGGAGTTTCTTCCGCATGGGCGGCCTTGTCTTTGTCAGCCTTGGCCTCTAGCAGCAGACGCACAGCTGCATCAGATCCATGTTCACAGGCGAAATGCAGAGCAACCCATGCATCTTCATCTTCCAAGTCCGGATCTTGTGGCCGTTGCAAGAGCTGCTCTACCACGGGAAGAAAGTTGTCGCCGGCAGCCTGCTGGAGTTGCTGGATTTGGTCCTGGGAACTTGGTTCAAATTGCAGCAATATGAGCTGAAGATCCATGGGGACCTGCAGCACCACATCGTCTGCCATTATCTGGCCATCTGACTGCACTAGCCGCTGCTTGAATCGTGGCTGCCTCACGACGCGCTGTAAATGGCGCTTGATGGCAAGTACCCGGACGGGCAGTTCCTCCGTGGGAAAGTCCGTCAAAGCGATAGCGAGGGCTTCTTCGCCCGAAGCCTTGAACACACGCAACATGCTGTCTTAGAGCCAGCAGCACTTGGGCAGGCAGAGGCTGTGAAGGGTGAATCCGAAGCCCCTAAGCCAGAGTCCCACAATCAGGGCGGATAGTTTCAAGACCAATCCACACCCTCAACGCCAGCAACGCCTGGTCTCAAAACTTGAGCTTTAAAATCAAAGCCGCCCTAAAACAATGAACCTCAGATTTTAAATTTGAGGGTTTACTTGGAAGTCCATGGTACCTGGACATGACGTTTACCTGCGTTGTAACCGTAGTGATGATTCCCAAACTGCAAACCTTAACCCTAAACCCTAAACCCTAATCCCTAAACCCTAAACCCCAAACCCTAATCCCTAAACCCCAAACCCTAATCCCTANACCCTAAACCCTAAACCCCCAAGGTCAAAAGTAGTGCTTGAGTTCATTGAACCTTTTAGTTGAGTTCAGCGGGCTAACCCCGAAATTCAAGATCGCCCTCCATGACCATATCTATGCACATACATATGCACTTATGTACATCACAACCTGAACAGATACTCAGCCAAGCCCTCAACCACAAATCGCAACCGCTGAACCCTATCCCCAACCCTCTACATGGGTCAATGACCAAAGCATGAATAGCCCTAGGGGCCTAAACCCCCAAACCCTAAACCCTAAACCGTGTGTATGTAGCCGAGCCAAACCTCAGCCTCAAAACACAAGTTCAAAGCCCTATGGGATTTAGGATTGTGGAGTATTTAGGGTTTAGGGTTTAGGGTACCCCTGGGCACTGGGGAGGCATGGGGATCTGGAGGCTGTTCGAAGAAGATAAGGTGTGCCTGAAGAAATGCATGCGGATGATTCTGTGAGAGCCTTTCACATCCTTACAGTTGGGCGCTCGATGTACAGCCCCCTACAGAAAGCCCCCGCTCAACAATTCCAGAAGAAAGAGGAGAGTACCTTCGCCCCTTCTAATGATTCTAACATGACACTTTTGAGAGATGCTCAAACTCCTTTTTCAGGCCGCACCTTAACCTAAACCCTCCATACTACTGGAAAAAACCCTACGCCGCCCTAGGTGCAACTTCCCTCCATCAACAGAAGGGCTTCCAAAACACCGCGCTTCCCTAAGCGCGAAACCCTAAACCCTCATCCACTTAGACCCCAAACCCTAATCCCCCTACTACTACACCTTAAACCCAATCCCCCCCTTAACCCCAAACCCTAAGCCCTAAACCCTATAATCCCCCTACACCCTAAACCCTAAAACCTAATCCCCCTAAACCCTAAAACCCAATCCCCCTAAACCCTACACTCCCCCAANNATGTTAGTTTCCGGGAGGGTAAACGTTCCTTCAAGCCGAGCATCCACAACGTTCTTGGCCCCGTAGCATGCCTCTGGGCCTGGTCATTACTAGATCCTTAAGGGGGGTGGGTTCAAGGGGGGTAGGTGCTGGGGAACCTTAGGGAGCCTTGGG